CGCGGGTTCTCCAAAAGAGACATCTTTAGATAAAAATAATAAAAACCCCATGCTGCATAGATAATGCAGATAAGTTCTAGTAATCTGGTCAAGGGGCAAAAAGCAAGCACTTAGTCTTCAGCTCCAATCTTTTGTTCATTTCTTATAGCTGGAATTTCATATTTCTTCTTGTTGGATGACTAAACCGGATGATGGTAAAGATGGTAAGCCGGCAGTTTTTACTCAGCCCCGCCCTGCTCAGCCTCGGGAGCGGAGGAATTCTCAGCTGGTGGATCGGCTGCTTTTGTCTCTTTGCCATCTTGTGGTTTAGGGTTTTCTGGGCGTCTGTGTCGGTAGTTGAAGTTGCGGCGGTACCGACGTTGAGGTGGCTGCTGACCTTGGGTCTCATCTCCTTGATTTTCCTTATCTTCTTCATTGCCGTCTTTTCTAGGCTGTCTTTGGTGAGGAGGGCCCCTGCGGAATCGTGGTCTGTAGCCCCTATACATATTCTGTCTCACTGGTCTGCCTTGTTCTCCTGCACCCTGGTTGTCAGCACCCTCCATCACTTCTACCTGTACAGGAGGGTTGGAATACTGTGGTCGTCGCCCACAGGGTCTCCGCATGTAGTAAGGTGGGAACCGTCGCCTGCGATAGGGCCGGCGCTGTTGGGCCTGGCCTTCGGGAGCACTCTGGGACCCCTCATTCTTCTCCCCACTCTCACTATTCTGGTAATTCTGCTCACATTTAAATTTTAGTGTTATCTTTTCCAGAATTATTTCTTTAATTACTTAAGATCTGAATTAACATTTGCTACCTCTGCCCCCTTTTCTTCTTCAACAACATCAGACTCCACAGTCTCTCCATCTCCTACACTGCGAAGGTACTTCCTGGGGTTATTCTTCTTTATGGCAGTCTGGTGTACAAATACATCTTCCTTGGTGTCATTCCTGTTGATGAAACCATATCCGTTTCTTACATTGAACCATTTTACTGTTCCCAAAACCTTCGTTGCGATGACCTTCTTGTCCCCGCCGGCAGGCGCCGCTGATGTGAGGCCACCTGGGCCACAGCTGCCGGTGGTGCCGGGCTTGGTGTTGGCAGCGCTGAGGGTGGGGGCAGCGGGCGGCTGCTGGGTTTCGGCCTCGCTGCTCATGGTTGCGGTGATGGTGACTGGGGCCAGCTGTGGCAGCTGTGGCTCCTCCCGGGGTGTGATGGTAACTAGGCCGGCGGCGGCGGTGGGGCTGCTCAGGGCTTTCTGGGGTCCGCTCTCTGCTCCCGCTACCGATCAAACTCTAAATATTTTTTATCCTGAAAAATTTTGAATTTAGAAAACTTGAAAAAAATAGAATTGTATAATGATCACTATTCATCCTTTAACTAGATTCATTGATTGGTCATATTTTGCTCCCTTTGTGTTATGTTTTTCACATGCCTTTTTTTCTGAATTATTTAAAAGAAAGTTGCATACATCATGAGGTTTCACTGGAAAACTTTCAATAGGCATCTTCTAAGACCAAGAACATTCTACATGACCACACTGCAAATTTTGGTTTTGAATAACATATTTACTTTTTTGCTTTACAATATACAAATAGCTTTAGAATTATAATTCTAATATTGCTATCATTAATCTATAAACTAGAGCTTAGATTTTGTTGCAGTCCATTTTTTTTTCTTTGAAATATAAGGACACTAAAGATGAGCAATCAGGGTACTGTGTCCAGTATGGAACAGAGTAATTCAAGTTACTGAACACAATCCTAACTTAGTGAGACATATTCTAAGGTCAAAAGGGACTGCAAAAAAATCTTGATAATAATTTGATACAGGGATTCATTTGCTTCTTTTTGCATTCAATTTTAGGATCTGCTTTTAAAAATATTTTTATTACATAGTTTAGTGAATTGCCTTTGTGAAATTTAATGCATAGAATTGCCATAGCAAATGGTCTCAATCATCATAGTTTTGCTGTAATGCAATAGAAAATGTAGCTTTGGATAGCAGAAACTATAATTTACAAAATAGCCGTTTTTACAGTTTTAAAAAGTGCAAATGTCTAATCTCTACTAAGAATTATATTTCAATCATATATTATTTTATGTTTACAAAGTGCTTTATCAACATAATTATCATGGACCTAACAATAGTTCTGTGGGGTATGCAGGAAGAACATTCTCCACAGATAACAAACCAAAATGAAACAGGCAGACTGATTTGCCCAAAGTCTCTAGGCTGGGCTATGGGAGCTGCCCCTGTAAATCCACCTTTCTAATTCCAGCTGTTGGAGGCCTCTCACAGTTTCTGGATGAGGAATATGCTTTGGTACTATAAGGACACACAAATGCCTCATGTGGTTATAATTATAGGTGCCTCAGTCCAATTGTTAGCACCAGTTGGTGGATGTAACTGTCTCGCCCACCGGTTGTTTTCAAGACAACTGCTCACTCAGAATGAGGGTGTATAAGGGGAAAGCCACTAGCAACTATATTAGTTACCTGTGACCCAAGAACAGATCAGCTCACTCTGCATATTTAATTAGACCTGTGGGTGGCAACCCTGGCTGCACATTAATTTATGGTTAAAAATCTTGAAGCCCAAGGCACCCTCCACACCAATTGCATCAGCCTTTGGAGTTGGAGTCTGGACATCAATTAAAAAATCCCCCAGGTGATTCTGATATGAATCAAGATCCAGAGAGTTAAGAGAAATGTGGTAAATCTCATCTCCTCTAAACCTATAACTCTTTATTAAATGGCTCAACTCTTGATTTGAACATAACAAAAATACATTCGTTACCTAATTGGTCTACAAATTTTGGGCTCATTGCTATTAATTCAATAAAGCTAAATTTATAGAACAATCCTGCTTAGCATTACACTTTGCCTGTACTATCTAATTTAAATCTCTCTTGAGTAGTCATTCTTTTCATTTCACAGGCAAGGAAGCTGAGGCATTTGGGGTTTAGTGTTTACATTACACAGCTGCTAAGTGGTGGAATTGGAATTCAAACCCAAGTAATCTTGACTCAAACACTCAACACATATAACATCTGAGCATCAGTGCCTGCATGAGAACTATTGATTTCATGGGCTGATTCTATGTTTGGTTGTTGACATTTGTTTATGACTTTACATCTCCCAATATTAGTGATAGCAACTAAAATTGGCTCAGATCTTCCTCATCTCTGCTTTTTTAGTGTCTTGTGATCTTTTCCAGACAAGCAGGTTCCTTGAGGGAGAAGCCATGTTCTGTTCTATACTACTCTATCTTCCATGCCAAGACCAATGCCTGACCCAGAGTAAGGCTAACACCCTAACTATTGTTTGAATGACTGACACTCTAAGCTATATGGACTATACAAATTTGACTAGGTTACACAGTCATATATAAAAAAATATATAAATCCTTTGGGAATTAATACTGTGGTGTTAAGCTAGAAAATAAATGAAATATTTAATCCACTAAAAGTACAAAAATGTTTCCCTTAAGAACAAGACAGGAATGTCCAGTTTTACCACTCTTATTAATATAGTACTGGAAGTTCTAGCCACAGTAATCAGACAAGAAAAAAAAAGGCATCCAAATTGGAAAGAAGGAAGTAAAACTGTCCTTATTCATAGATGACATAATATTGTACATAGAAAACCCTAAAGACTCCACCAAAAAAAGTATTAGATTTAATAAATGAATTTGGCAACACAGAAGGATACAAAATTAACACCCAGAAATTGATGGTACTTTTACATACCAATAATAAACTCAAAGAAAGAGAAACTAAAAAAAAATCAACCCCATTTACCATTGTAACAAACAAACAAACAAAAAAATAAGACACCTAGCAATAAACTTAACCACGAAGGTACAAGACATGTACTCAGAAAATGATAGAGAATTGAAAAAAGAAATAGAAGAAAATACAAACAAATGGAAAAATATAGTGTTCATGAATTGTAAGAATTAGCATCATTAAAATGTTCATACTGCTCAAAGCTATCTACAGATTCAATATGATCCCTATTAAAATATCACTGAGTATTTCACAGATCTAGAACAAATACTCCAAAATTTTATATGGAATCAAAGAAGACCCCAAATAACCACATCAATGTTAAGAAAGAAGAACAAAGTTGAAGGGATCACAATACTGGATATCAAACTATTGTACAAAGCCATTGTAATCAAAACAGCCTGGTACTGGCACAAGAACAGGCATATAGATCAATGGAACAGAACAGAGAACCCAGAAATAGAGCCATGCCATTATAGTCGGTTAATATTTGACAAAGAAGGCAAGAGCACACAATGGAGTAAAGATAGTCTTTTTAATAAATGGTACTGAGAAAATTGGACAGATATATGCAAAAAAATGAAACTAGACCACCAACTTACACCATACATAAAAATAAACTCAAAATGTATAAAAGATTTAAATGTAAGTCATAAAACCATAAAAATCCTAGAAGAAGTCATAAGCAACAAAATCTCAGACATCTTACATAGCAGAATTTTCACTGATATATCTCCTAGGGAGAGAGAAACAAAGGGAAAAATAAATGAATGAATGAATGAATGAATGAATGAATGAATAAATAAATAAGACTACATCAAATTAGAAAGCTTCTGCACAGCAGAAAGAACCATCATCAAAGTGAAAGGGAGCCCACTCTATGGGAGAACATATTTGCCACTGATACATCTGATAAGGGGTTAATTTCCAAAATATATAAAGAACTCATACAACTCAATAAAAGGAAGACAAATAATGAGCAAAGGACCTGAATAACATTTCTCCAAAAAGGACATACAGATGGCCAAGAAACATATGAAAAAATGTGCATTGTTACTAATCATCAGAGAGATGCAAATTAAAACAACAATGAGGTATCACCTGCCAGAATGCCTACCGTTAATGAGTCAACAAATAGCAAGTGCTGGCAATGATGTGGGGAAAAGGGAACCCTAGTCCACTGCTGGTGGGAATGCAGACTGGTGCAGCCATTATGGAAAACAGTATGGCGTTTCCTCAGAAAATTAAAAATGGAACTTCTGTTTGACTCAGTGATCCCACTTCTGGGGATATATTATAAGAATCCTTAAACACCAATCAGAAGGAATATGTTCACACCTATGTTCATAGCAGCATTATTTACAGTAGCTAAGATCTGGAAACAGCCCAAGTGCCCATCAGTAGGTGAATGAATAAAAAAGCTGCTGTGGCACATTTACACAATGGAGTATTATGTGGCTGTAAAAAAGAAGTCTCTCTTATACTTTTAGACAGCATGGGTGGACCTGGAGATTATTATGCTAAGAGAAATAAGCCAGTCAAAGAAAGACAAGTATCACATGATCTCACTTATAAGTGGAATATAATGAACAAAATAAACTGATGAACAAAGTAGATCCAGAAGCATGGATGCATGGAACAGATTGACAGATCTCAGAGGAGAGGGTGGGAGGGGAACTGGAAGAGATTAACCAAAGGACTTACATGCATATATGCATAACCCATTGACACAGACAATGGTGTGTTAAAGGCCTGGAGTAGGGCAGGGGCTGGGTAGAGGGGGGCAAGGGAGAAAAATGGGGGACATCTGTAATACTGTTAACAATAAAAATAAATAAGTAAAGTGAGGGGGGACAGTACATAGTGAACATAGTGAGTATGTAGGGTTTCAGAATGAGTTACCCTAACATGTGCCTCTGTCGTATGGAGTATTACTTTGAGCTTGCCAGCTCAAGAGAAACTTCTCTCCTACCTCTTAACTTCATAGAAGAATTTTAAATTAGGGACCTTGCCATAATAGGAGTTATTGTCTATATATATAATAGAGGAATATGCTAATTGTCCATTACAGCGTCACATCACAACTGGATCAGCAGGCTGTGTCCCCGCCCTCTGCTCAGGCAGCTGCAAGGCCCATGGTAGGATAGGATACTATAGGAGGGGATAAGAAAGGAGAGGGAGAGGAAGGCAGGCCTGCATGCAGACAGGCCGAGAGGAGAAACAAATACAGAAAGGGAACAAAAGACACAGGAATGGAAAAGGGAAGGAAACGCAGGGCTGCATGCGGGAGGGGGTGGCGACCATGGGGCCGGGGAGCAGGTGTGCCTGGTGAGGGGTGGGGTGCAGGCAGTGCAGAGCAGGTAGCCCTGACCACACGCAGGAGGAGGGCGGTGACCCCCGATGCGGGCCGTTGGCGGGGAGGTGCCCACGGGTCCGGGACAGAGTGGAGGACTGTCCGAGGCCTTCTGGGTGGAGGTGCTCCTGCTTTGTGGCAGCAGTGCCTGGGCTGTGCTGGTCTTGGCCACCCTTGCTGGGCTGGGTGTCCCTGGAAGGGAATGGGAGCAGGACAGCGGCAGGGAGGCCGGGGAAGGGGGGATGGCAAACACCTGGCCGGGGCTGAGCCCTAGGCTGGGGATTAATGCTCCCCCTCCCCCAATGAAAGCTTTAAGAAGGGAAGGAGGGAGGGAAGAACTTTATGAAGGAGTCAGTAGAGAGCAGAGTTAAAGAAGGAAAGAGGATGTGTGAGTGAACTGTAGGAGCTATAGTGAAAATTAAGTATAGTTGTGTACTGGGGATAGATTTTAAAAGTAGGAGTCAGAAAAGAAAAAATAAATGATAGTAAATAATTGTTACACTGAGTGTAAATAGTAAATAATTATGCAGATAGATAGATATTAAAACAGTGGAAGTAAGTAGAGAAGAATGTGGTTGAGAGAGAAAGAGGGAGGGAAGAAAAGTTTTAAAGGGGAGCTGGAAGAGCTTAAAAGGAGAATGGGAAGAAGGAAGAAATGGGGGAGGGAGCAAAGCAGGTCTGATGGAGGAAGTGAAGAAAAAAATTAAAGTGGGAAAGAAGGAAAAGAGGAGGGAGGGTAGGGGTAAAGATAAAGGAAAGAAGGAATGTGGGGAAGGAGGGAGGGTAGGAGAAAGATGGGAAGAAGGATGATGGAACAGAAGTAGGAAATTAGGAGGAAGAAAAGTTTATAAATGATGAGTCAGTAGGAAAAAATGTTATATAAAGGAGAGAGAAAAATTGTGTGAGAGGGAGAAGCCCATAAGGAAGTCAAATACAATTGTGTGTGAAGGGGATAAGATTTTTTAAAAAGTTAAAAGGGCGACTAGGCTGGCAGGGGAAAGTTAGGGGGGGTGACCAGGCTGGCAGGGCAGGGCAGTTAGGGGGATCAGGCAGGCATGCAGAGTGGTTAGGGCAGGCAGGCAGGTGAGTGATTAGGAGCCAGAAGTCCCAGATTGCGAGAGGGATGTCCAATCCAAGGGCTCCCAGATTGGAGAGGGTGCAGGTCAGGCTGAAGGACCTCCCCTCCCCCGTGCATGAATTTCATGCACCAGGCCTCTAGTAAAAAAATAACCTCTTTTGACTTATCTAAGAAGCAGGGAAAACATATAATTACTGAATATCTCCTCTTCTTATCAGCCCATCCATGACCCTTTTCCCTTCTAAAGCCTCAGGTGCCTGCTCAGCTCAAGATGTCATACATACCCCATTTTATCTGTCTCTGAACCTCTCATATATGTGAAGTCTCTGGCTCTCTCATATATGTGGGGTTCTCATATGTATGTATGTAATTAGATTTGGTTATTTTCTCTTGTTAATCTGTTTCATGTCAATTTGATTATTAGACCAGCTGAAATAACCTTGAAGGTTAGAATAAATTTTCTCCCTTTCCCACAGTAGTATGAATAACTTTTCCAGGAGATTCTTAAAATATTAAATAGTTCCATATAAAATTGTAGACATTTGAGCTAAAATGTACCTTAGAGAAAAATGTAATGACTCCAGTATAGTCTGTCTGAGGCAGGATAGTAAAAAACTAGGGAAATTCCTTGACAAGTAGAATAAGGGAAACTGAGACAAAATAATTAGGCAAGGCCACAAAACTTGAGCAATTTACAGCCAGCTAATAAACTACAAGGTTTTAATGTCTCTAACCAAGGACACTTAGAAGCAAATGGTTTACGCATTCCAAACTGTCCTGGGGCAGACTGGCCTCTGTCCCAGTACCTCTCTGATGACGTTCTTTAAAAATAAAACTAACCAGAAAATAACCCTGGCTTCTTTACACACTTGTTAATGAATCAATGTTTTGAAGAACACATCTGAAAAGAAAATGAATATTCTATTAAGACCCTCCCCAGAGACCTCCCCTAGGAGTCCACTGGCCAAAGGAAGATAAAAAGCCTAAGACAAATAATCTATGCCTCACTCTCACTAGAGCATGCACATGCCTTGTATCTTTGATGTTTTTCTCCTAAACTCTAAGGGTCCCCCCCGCCAAGACTTGCAACCAGGTGAGCAGCGGGCAGTGGCAGCTCGACTTAGCTAACCCCCTGAACCTGTCTCCAAGGCCCCCTTTCTCCTGACTTTCTCTTTCCTGTTGCTTCTCCTACCTTAAGCCCTGACTTTGTTTTACTGTCTCCAGCTTTAATAAACATACTCTCAAAAGCCTCCTGGACTCATGTTGTGAAACCTTTCCTACAGAAAGTCAAGAGCCCACACACTACCAGCAGGCCCTATGCAGACCCACCTGGGCCCAGCCCCAGTCTGGTAACATTTCGACATAAGAATGTCCAAACCTATAGACTCTACACCTGAAAGCAAGATCTCAATAGAAAGATAAATGCTTTGGAGAGTAACAGTTTGCAGTTTCTTATATGCATTTGAGATTAAGGGGGAAAACTGTAAGAAGAATTACATGAAGGTGGGAGAAAGCAAGATAGGGATTGAGTTAGAGGATAATTAAGATTGTGTACTCTCTTACATGCTTTAGAAGGAGGGGTCTAAAAGGGTGGTCAGCTATTACAAGGAGCATTTCAAAAGTGTGTTAATCTAGATGCAGAGAAACAATGGGCAGGGCTTACTTAAGATAAGCCTTAAGGTAAAGACGTTTTATGTCTCAGAGTGATTACCTGCCCAGTTAGGAATTTATGATCAGGTTACCCTGTGAGGTTACTTCCCATAGAACCCCTTTTTAATCTACAAGTCACATTTGAAATTAAAAAAATAGGTGATTCCACTGTTCCCTCTTCCAGTTTTTAAAAAAACAAGTTGGCATGCCATGCAGTGAGAGGAAATGAAACAAAGCTGTGTTCAGTGGCCTGGAGTGTAATGCTCAGAGGCTCCAGCAAAGCCTGCAGACATCAACATGATATAGTTACAGATTCTCAAAAATTGAAGTAGTCTATTTTTAACATTTCATTTAAAATTTTTATTAATCAGTATAGACTGCTCCAAGAATTCAAAATATGGTGGGGAAAGGGAAATTTTCTCTTCTTTTCCTCATACTTCTTCTGGTTTGCCTAAAAATCAAATTTACATGAGACAGATTAACAGAAAATAATTTAATAACTTATGTACATATGGGGGTCCATAATAAGAATTACGGATAAATTTGGCAGTTGAGGTTTATATGCCATCTTCAGCTAAGAAGAAAATGTGGTGTGTGTGTGTGTGTGTGTGTGTGTGTGTGTGTGTGTGTGTGTATGTGTTTGTTTGGACTTCAATGAGGAAGAAGGCAAGCCACATGAAAATGAAAGGAAATATTTGGTAAACAAATGTTTGCTGAATCATCTTTAACAATGGAACACATAGAAGACTTCCATCAAATGACCTTGCTATCACACTCAGTTCATATTAACCCATAGTATCTATGATGCTAGCTCCCTTCCTGGAGCAGGTTCTCTCTCAAACTTATCTTAGGCAGTTAGGGAGAATATCGAAAATTCTTTCTGAGTCTTTTGTTTCTTAAAAATAACCAGCTTAAAACAATTAATATCCCCCAAACAGACATATTTTGGAGTGATAAACTCTGCTCTCCCTCAGTGTCCATAGTGAACAAAACTGTAGCTCTCACTGAGCCTAGCAACAAGAAGGTCATTCTTCCTCTTGAAGTGCACCCTCTTAAACTGTGCAAATCTGGTTTGGCTGGCAAGACATCCTTAACCTCGGGGAGACTTTGGTTCAGTGCTGTTTTTATTCCTCTCTGCCACATGCTATCACTGTTGAAGAACAGTTGGTTCGCCTTAAAATGTTTCCTGTCTGCTGTGAGGAGCCCTCAAGATGCCAGTCCATGCAGAGGCCACAGTGGCTCTGCACAGACAACAGTATGCACCCTCAGCACTCATTCCTACCAGGCCCCACGTGGCAGCCCTTTCAGCCCATCTCTTATTTTCTGTGCCCCTAGATCTGGCCCTGAAGCTCTGAGTCAGGATGGATTCCTCTGTCCTGTCCTTTTTTCCCAGTGATCACCATGGGGTAGGACAGCAACATTATTTCCACCCCACCCCCAACTCCAAAAATATAAAGAGCCTCTCTATGTCACCTTTGCCTAGACAATATAAATTACTCAACCTTTACTTACATGTTCTCTATGGTCTAAATGATATGTATCTTTTAAGGAACCCCATCTCGTTCACCCCAAAGCTATTTTCTATCTTAGCCCATAAGGGAAAAGGGAAAGTAGCTTGCACTTCTCACACAAAAGAAGTAAAGAGATACAACAGAAGATTAACTCCTTTTACAAGGCTAAGATAAAATAATTCTAGTATATTTTCATTCTATCATTTTTATTATTCAATGAAGTTATAGACCTGTAATATAATATAACCACAGACTCATGGTATGAGAAGTAAATACATCTAATCCCCTCAGAGGTGTTTTATCCTTCCATTTCTCCCCACCTCCAGCACTGCCCATGTTTTTACCATATTGTACTCTGCTTAAATATTATCTGGTCTAATGCCATGTTTATTGAGAAGGAAGTGAACTTGACCAAGGGCAAACCTGGGGCCGAGGGCCCTGACTCCTAGTCCTAGTCCAGGAGGACTGGAGTCCCAGTCCCATGATCTTTCTGCAACATCTTCATATCTGGAGTTACTACCAGCCTTGGAAAACCAAAGAATTACCTAGAGACTGGATGGGAAATGGAAATGAGTCAAGGTAGATGGTCAAGGAAGACCCCACAGCAACCTGATTTAATTTTCTGCATCCCATTACTGAATACAGATGTCTTTTTCAAACTGCTGAGTTCAAACTGTAGCTAATCTTTAAGCCATCTCACTCTTGTGGACCCCAAGAAGAAAGATTTATTTGATATGAGCCCCGAGAAGGAATTTATCTGCTGAGATGAACTTCCCATGGTCAATCAAGGGCTAAAATTTTATGAATAATAAGAATCTAAATTTTTAAAAAAGAGCCTAATGGCCATTTTCTGATAAGGGCTCTTCATGTACTCTGTATACAGGGAAGAACATCAGACTAAACTTTCAGCTCCCCACACTATGCCCCTCTTGTTTACCATCTGAGTTAACTACTGCAGAGAAGCCATGGTTTTATCTTTCTACTGAGGGACTGAGATCTGCCTAGTAAATTGTGTCTTCATTTGCATCTATATTGATCAATAACAACTGCAGAATTTGGAAACCTCATTTGTATAAAATTGGGATGGGCCAGAACTTTCTGTATAAAAGGTGGTCTCCCATTGTCTGGAAGGGAATACAGTTTAGATTGCTCCCTGAATATGTGTCTCTCAGGCTGCAGTTCATTTTGCTCAAATAAATGCTTTTTATTCTTTATTATAGTCTAAAATTAATTTTGGTTTACACTCTGCTTGCTACTTTCCACATGTCTCTCTTCATCTCAGGGGTTTCTATCACATCTACTTATATATTACTAGAGGCCTGGTGCACGAATTCGTGCATGGGTGGGGTCCCTCAGTCCAACACTGCCTGCAGCTCCTACCTGCCTCTCCCACTCATCCCGGCCCCACTGCGCCTGCCATAGGCTCGCAACCAATCAGTTCCTATTGGGAGAGGCTCGTGCCACTGCAGCACTAGCCAGCCATGAGCCCTACATCTGGTGTCCTCCCAAGGGGAGTGGCCTGTGGGATCAGGCCAAAACCAGCTCTCCAACATCCCTCAAAGGGTCCTGGATTGGGAGAGGGTGCAGGCTAAGCTAAGGGATTTCACCAGTACACGATCAGGGCTGGGGAGGGACCATGGGAGGGCTCCAGGGCATGTCTGGCCCATCTTGCTTAGTCCCTATTGGCCGGACACCAGCAGCAAACTAACCTACTGGTCGGAGCGTCTGCCCCCTGGTGGTCAGTGCACGTCATAGTGAGCAGTTGGGCAGCCTTAGCATATCATTAGCATATTATACTTTGATTGG